ACCATAAGGAATATAACAAGCGACCAGCGTCAGTTGCAGCCATGTTGCAGTAGATAATGCCTTTTTGTATCGCGCCATGTTCAGTTGATTTGTTCGGTTCGGTTGTTGAACAAGGTCTTCTACATGATTTTGATGATGACGGAGGGTGAGGAAAATCTTTGTGTAAGAGAAGATCGAGATAATAAGACACAGTGGTATACCCATGATGCCATACCAAAAGGTTATCAGGGGATTCCAAAATTGCATTGCTGAAGTGACAGTGGACACAATCCAAAAGGTAATAACGATCACGTAGGTTCGTTTTAAAGTTACAACTTGTCTGTATCTTAGTTCCAACAACAGGGCGAGAAGTCTGTCCACACTTATTGCAGTCAGTGTCAACACAGATACTCCACAGAAATGTGGCCGTTATAGACGTTGCCTCGTACACGTAGGGACAAATATTCCAATGTTCATTCACTACAGACATCCAGCCGATAACAGCAAGAGGCTCTACAATAAGACCAGCGCAGAGATCAGTTGTTGCAAGGCAACGAAGCAAGAGTTTGGACGGCGAATGAAGTGAAGACTCCTTGTGAAGAGCAATTAGGATCAGAGCATTCCCAAGAAGTGCATTAACGGACAGAAAAGAGTTTAAAACTGAAATAAATGTCAACTGGCCGTGTAATCCAGCAGTTGGGGAACACATAAGTTGTGCAACTATTTTCTGCTGTCCATCTCCAGTAAACTTTGATGCTGCCATTTAGTTGGTAAGATGGCTGTTTGTAGCAGCTGGAATCGATTAGCTATCACTGTGGAAACGTCTCAGAGTAGAAAAGTTACAAAGAGGCTTGTCAACTGACGAACAATCTCAACTTTTTGTACAATGTCTTTTTCAAGTTTGCTTAAACGTGAATTTGAATGTCAAATTAAACTAGCGGATAGCCAATTCCCTGAGTAAATAAATAAAGACAAAATAAAAACAATAAAGAGAAAATTTTTTTTAATTATTGGTTTTGTAGGTTGTCTTAAACTGCATGAAATATTTCGCAAATTCTGAAATTCTTCCAGTTATCCTAAATTGTAATTTCTCCTTCGATCACGCATCAAACTAATTGTTAGAAACTGGCCGCTTAACACAATAGAGTTTCGACTGCGTATAAAAATTGTAAAAAATGTTCTAGTGTCACGTCGCGAGCGTTGAGAAATCTTCAGGAGAAATGGATAATTTGAGAGTATTTTAATTTAAGGATGTCGTTAATATGGATCTGAGGCGAATCCTTGTTAGTGTATGTTTTAATGGACCAGCTTTTAACGTGAACGTTTTTAATAATTTTATTCCGCAATAAAAGTTTTGGATTAGCTTTTATGATGATGACTTCCCTTATTTCATTGACTCATCCATGCATTACCATTTGTGAAGGTTGTCATGGAAACGTCGTTTAGTCTCGGGGAATATAGTAAAAACAATAAAAATATAATCCCACTTCCAATTTCATGTGAGATGTAAGATCTAGATAACTTAGGATCCTCCTAATTTCCAAAAAAATAGGCCACAATAGCTTATTATCTTATCAAATTAGAGCATTTTCTTATCATTCACATCACGCCATTTTTTCGCACCCAAAACTGGTCAACTAACAAGCAAACTCGCTATCTCACTGGCTTCTCAGACAGACTATCAATTGATAGAGGGTGCTTAGAAAAGGACCCTGGTTTTTCTTGCATTATGACGAAACGTTAGTATCGGCGAAAATGTTCTGTATAAACTGGGTTGGGCTAAAAACGTTTAACGACATGGTGGCTCTTGTTTTCTAGGGACCTTTAGTTTAAATTTACCGTAGTCTATCGTGAATCTGTTCATTTTATTGGTCAGTCTATTGCCGTTCTCCATCTGCTGATAGAAAAAGGCCGATACACGTGATCAGGAGCCCATGACATGATTTACGTCTTGTACACGTGATTTTTTCTATCCATTTGTACACACAATCAGTTTGAAATCTTTTGAACTGCCGGATGCAACACATTTAATAACAAAATTTTTCTAAGCGTTACTTGACATTTTTTAATGCAGTGAGACCCGTTATATTAAAACAATTTAAATTCCCGCTCTAGCTCGTAGATTTTTACGAGCGATAATCAATTCTGCTGATCATCTGCTCGTAGGAAACGAGTGCTAGTAGTCTATTTAATTGTTGATTAGAGTTGACTCCACTCAACTCCTACAAAAAAAAACCTTCAGACGCTATACCATTGAAGTAGCAAACCTCTCATTAACAGTTTATAGATTGATTGTCCTATGACAATGACAAAATACAGTGCTACTCATAAAAATATTCAGCGATACTACACACTTAACCTGGCATTTTGGATATTCTTTAAGTAAATTGTGAGTTTTTGTTATATTGAGACAAGAGAGGATGAGGGATGAGAAAACTTATCATCCATACAGGCCTTATTCCTAAGGCAATTCCTCCGAGTTATTTCTAGATCACACCCATAGCAACGCGCGCGACGCGCGTGATAAAATAACTTGAGAGGGATTACGTCGAGAATGAGGTCCATACGGGGGGATTATCTATCTTACCTTTAAGCCAATCTTGAATTAGAATATTCTATATTTTGAAACAAGCAGCTGGTTATGGCTCTCATCATTTTCTTGCATGGCGCAGAATGGCTTTTGTTTGAAGGACATATACTTACTTACTGGCTTAAATTAATTTTGTCTAGTTGGTTACGGTTTATCCCTTACAAACGCAAATTTAACCATAATCTCTTGCAGTTGTGAATACCCAATGGGACAACCGTCCATCAATTGTACAAGCAGTCAACAGACAATAGAGTTTCCAAGCAATCTCGATCGCTTCAAAAAGCTTTACTCGTTACTATCATACGATCACTTGGTAGTTAACCCTGTATCTCATTTGCGCCGGGCAGCCGCGCTAAATCTTGCTTAAATGCAAGTAGTCTTTCCCCGAATCGGCTTTGTGCGCTTAACAATTAATGTTATTAGCGGTTTCAACAAAATTGTAAGCCTTCTGTGGCCTGCGGGAACCAATCTTGTCCTCTTTCCAGACTTCAATGACCAGAAGCGGCTAGTTTTACTTGTTTTCGAATTTCACACACAATTTCTGTCTTTGATCCACTCTTTGTTTCATTCTGTCTTATCCAGAACTAATCAATCATTCGCGCGACACTCGCAGTTAAATGCGCTCGCGAACTTTAGCGCGTTCTCCCGCTCACGTTTGGAAGTAATTCGTAATTTACTTAATAATAGCTCGCACATCTAACATGAATCAACATGTTAGCTTAAAGTATGTCATCAGTAACAGTTGTTCGGGCGTTTTTAGCGACTCTTACACTCAATCATAAATACTTGCGTCACTTTTAATAAGCTTCTATTGTGTCATCTGGTTGTCATGACAACTTGAAATAAACAGATATAAAAACCATTGACAATTTGAATAATCATCATTTCTCACATCTTAACATCATGGAAAAGCGTTGCCTTCCAGAAGCAGGGCATTTCAAACAACTAAACGACATCCAGTTGCCGAAGGTTAAAAAACCAATAGTCAAACGAGTCATTTTCCTGCCTGACGACTCAATTATCGAGAGAATAGTCGCTAAGCGTCAAAGAGAGAAAAGAACAGAGTATCTCATAAATTGGGCTGGTTATAGACCTGAGGAAGCCACGTGGGAGCCAGCAGCTCACATTCCCGCCTGGCTGTTAGAAGACTTGGAGAAAACCATGTCAAGATCAAGCGTTGATCTGCGATAGTCGGGAAAGACTCCCACTCACATTCGAGAGAGGTTTGAAGGCGCGCCTGGTTCCAGATTTCAACTTAGAAAAGAAGCACGCAGTTTTCCGCGCCCTCTTCCCGATGATCAAGCCTGCGCTCTCATCGTCATGGAAAGAAATCACTGAAGACGACTTTCGCGGAGCTGGATTTCAGCTTCAGCTGGAGCAGATCGTATCCAGAACAGGACTGAGACGAAAGACCGTGTTTCCCATTCTTGTTCAGCTCAGTCTGGGAAGATCGTCGACCTTCTTCAATGACAATGGGCAGAAAGCAGAGACTCGGCGTGTGGAACGCGTGAGGCTCCAGTTCCGGAAGATGAATTACTTCCCATAGGGGTAATTCTCTCTATTAATGACGGTGTCTACTTTTGCCAGTGCGCACACGTTCTGCGCATCACGCTGGGCATGGTTTAAGCGCCCCACGCGCGCTGGGTTGACACTGACGCAATCAACTACGCCACCAAGTACACGACTAAAATGAAAGCAAAATTTTCCTAGTGTGACCAAATCAAGTTTAATGGACCTGTTCTTAAACCAGGAACACCAGAATAGCAGCATATCGCTAACCACTAATTGTTAACGTCTTCCAGCTGAAGACGAGGAGTCTGTTTATTTAAACTATGTTCCTGAAAACTACAACAAATTCTGTTTTTGTCCAACTACTAACAGTGTTGTCTTTACTCATCAAAATAGATTGGCGAAAACTAAAGCTACAGGGCTAGATAATATCTCTGCTAGGTTGATTCGTGAGTGTGCTGATATTATCTCAGNGTTGTCTTTACTCATCAAAATAGATTGGCGAAAACTAAAGCTACAGGGCTAGATAATATCTCTGCTAGGTTGATTCGTGAGTGTGCTGATATTATCTCAGACCCGTTATGCGATCTGTTTGATAATCCCTGATGTCTGGCATATTTCCTGACGACTGGAAATGTGCCAGAGTGACTCCGTCGTTTAAACAGGGC